TATTGCACAGTCTGTTAAAAAATAAATATATCTCTAAAAATCCCCAACAACCAACACTAAAATTGGGACAAATTACCCCAAATGAACTTTGTGAGGTGACCTTTAAACCTTTAAACAATTTCCCTTTTAAATAGTCTCCAATAATTATGAATATTCAATATATNAGGAACAGTGGCTGCCAAGCTCTGATATCCTGGTGGGGTTGTGTGAAATCACAATTTCAAAAATAGAAAATTCAGTTTATTCTTTCTATTTCCTCGAGTGGAAAGCAGAAGAACATGATGAGAAAATAAAATTGAAGCTGCCCAGAGATGGTGACTAATGTTAATTTTAATTGTTAAAAAAATGTGATTTTTTTCACGAGGATTTTGAATTTTTTAACCAAATTCCAGGACGTGCCAAGGCACAGACAGGAGCCAGCCTTGATCCCCAAATGATCCCAAAAACCAGGCTGGGATTTGCAATATCCCAATCCAGGAAAAGTCCTAAGGCAATAATTCATCTGTCCCCAATTCCTGACCTCACCTTGAGAGGTGTGAAGTGACCCACAAGCCTAAAATTTGCTTTTCTGGTGTAAAGCAAAACCTTAATTTAATTACAGATTTCATTTCTGACCTTGGTACCTCATCTAAAAATGTATTTGAATTTCTTTTGCATATTAAATTTACTTCTTCAGAAATTCTCCCAATTCTTCTTGTCCCAAATATATCCCAAAACCATTAATAAGGTGGAAAAACCAAACCCACAAAACATTTAAAAAATCTTACAAAGGAAAACATAATAATAATAATAATAATAATAATAATAATAATAATAATAATAATAATAATAATAATAATAATAATAATAATAACCGCCAATAATCATTATTACATAGATAATACTACTAAATATTTAATAAAAATATTAATAAGTTATCTTTTATTTATTAGTTTTATTAATAGCGATTTAATAGAGATTATTAATGTGAATAATTACATTTATACAATAATTTATATGTAAAATAGATAAAATATAAATTATTGAATATTTAATATTAATTATTGCACTATTAGCATTGAATATTTTTATTATGGATTATTTTTAGTATTGAATTTATTATTATTATTAATAATGATAATGATAATGATAATGATGATAATAATAATAATAATAATAATAATAATAATAATAATAATAATAATAATAATAATAATAATAATAATAATAATAATCCTCCTTAAAAATAATATGCCTTAAAAATAATAAGAAAATTTAAATACCTGGGAAAAGCACTGGAGGAAACTAGATTATCCCAATCCTGTCCCTGACACCATTCCCAGGTCAGTTTTAATTCCCAAAGGTTTTGTGTTTTCCATGTTTTTTTGGATTTCCAGGATATTTGTGGATATTGGATGTCCCCACTGCTCTTTACTGAGCTGTTAAATCAGAAAATGAGGTTAAAACCAACCCAAAAAGGGGGGAAAAAGGGATGGAAACGAAGAAAAAAGAAGCAAAAACCAAAAGTTAGAAAAAAGAGATTAAAAAAGGAGAAGAAAGAAAGAAAAAAAAGATAAAATATGTTAAAAACCACAAAAAAGTAACAGTATAAAAAACTGAGGTACGAAAAATAAAGAATTTGAAAATCCCCCCAAAAATTAAAAACTACAAAAATAAAAAGAAAATATAAAACCTATTAAAATTAACCAAAATTAATACAAATTATAAACCCCCTAAATTATTGCACAGTCTGTTAAAAAATAAATATATCTCTAAAAATCCCCAACAACCAACACTAAAATTGGGACAAATTACCCCAAATGAACTTTGTGAGGTGACCTTTAAACCTTTAAACAATTTCCCTTTTAAATAGTCTCCAATAATTATGAATATTCAATATATTTTTTCTTTTCTGCTTTCCTGAGCTTGCAGCTGCTTTTTTTGCCTCTCCTTGATGCCAACAGCAGAACAATTTCATTTTCTTTTCATTAAAACACTACAAAACTCCAATTAAAATTATTTTAGCAATGAAAAATAAAAATCAGATTTTTAAAAATGCAAATAAAATTCAGTTTTCTTTAAGCCTTTCAAATATCTCTGGGCACAGAGTGTCTCTAACAGGATAAATTACCCTCAAAAATTTGGTAAATATTCCCAAAAATATTTCTGGGATACAGCAAAGAAGATGAAATTTAAATTATGCTGATGTCAGGGCAGAATTTAATTTAAATTGAGATTTTACAAAGCAATATTTGTCGCCAGAAATGCTCTCCACCAGAAAATATTTGAATATTTTTTATTAAAAGTGCCATTTCTGGAGAAGATTTAAAGCAGTTACACAGCAATCAGAAAACATCCAAACACAGAATAATGAAGAATTTATCAGGATTTAAGTTTTAAAAATAAACTTTCTATAGGCTGTCCAGTGCAATGTAAATAAAAATCATATTACACGCATTTATACATCATAAAAAATACATTTAAATGCACAAATTGATTGATTTGCCATTATTTCTGAAATATTTTCAGCTTCAAAAATTCATGGATTTACAGAAACATCATTCCCGAAGTTCTGGGGTGAATTCAGGCAATGAAAAGTGGAATATATTTAAATTACAACATCTGTGAACCCAAACTGAGATAAAAACATCACTGAAAATCAGTTTTATCAAAAGAAAATTGGAACATATTTAAATTACATCTGTAATTTAAATTACAACATTTGGACCCAAATTGAGATAAAGACATCAGTGAAAATTGGTTTTATCAAAAGAATATTGGAACATATTTAAATTACAACATTTGAACCCAAACTGAGATAAAAACATCACTGAAAATTGGTTTTATCAAATCAAATAATACTTTTTTAAGTTCTTCAGACAGAGATCTGAAAATTCAGCCGACACCTGAAAATATTTAATATAAAAATTCATTCTATATAAATGAATTAAGGTGGGATTTCTGTACAGTCATTAATCCTGCCAAAAAAAAATATGGTGAATTTTAATATTCTTTTCTCTGCTCTCAGCACCTTTTTCCTACAAAATCAGCATTTAACATCAAATCCAAGCAGGGTTTTCCACTGAAAATAAAAGATGAAGCAAAGGGAAAAAAAGGATATTCCCTCTTAAATTCCATATTTCTTCTACCAAGTGCCTCTTTGTGCATTGCATTACCAGCATTTGCATATTTAATTCCCCATTAAAAACAATCCCAAATCGCGATAATGAAGGGATTGGTGCGTCCAAACGATTTCAACTCATCCCGAATATTCTCCATTCTTGGAAATTCTTTGATTTTAAAAAGTAAAATCCAAGATCAAATCCTTTCACGTGCCCAGGTTGCATCCTTGAACTTCCAGGAGATTTATTGGGGTTTATCCCAAACAATTCTTTCCTAAAAGCAAAGACATTTTATGAGGTTTAAAATCTTCATTTCAAAATTTCTTCACTTTCCAGTGAAATCAAAAAGAAATCACCCAACCCAGGAAAAAAAATACAGATTTCTCTCCTGAAATGTCATTTTTTTGTTGTTGCAGCCAATTCCCTCTGCCCCTCAGTTTTTTAGGGTCTTCCTACCATTCCCAAAAGCTCTGGAATGGAATTTCCAAGATTAAAAAACCCCTCAGTACTGAGATTATTGTGAATTATTGTGAATTATTTACAGGAATTCCTATGAGGCCACAGAGCACTTGGAGGCCTCGTTGAGTTTGTGGTCGTTATTCCCAGAAAATTGAATTCAGGAGCAATCTGTGCTTAGAGGCAAACCCAGGAAAAATATGATGGTCCAAAATGTGGGAGCCGACTCCCACCTGATCAAGGAATTGCTGGAAATGGTTTTCTCACTGGAGAAAAAAAATCCTTTCATATGGAAAAATCCTTCATGGAGCAGAGGATGAAGGTAATTATGGGATCACCAGAGAATCCTGGAATGGGTTGGGTGGGGAAGGACCTTAAATCCCACCCAGTTCATCCAGGGACAGCTCCCACCATCCCAGGCTGCTCCAGCCTGGCCTTGGCCACTCCCAGGGATCCAGGGGCAGCCACAGCTGCTCTGGGAATTCCATCCCAACCTCTTCCCACCCTCCCAGCCAGGAATTCCTACCCAATATCCCACCCAAATCTCCACTTTCCCAGTGGGAGCCATTCCCTGGCTCCTGTCCCTCCATCCCTTGTCCCCAGTCCCTCTCCAGCTCTCCCTGGATCCTTCCCTTCTCCAGGGGAACATTCCCAGCTCTCCCTGGATCCTTCCCTTCTCCAGGGGAACATTCCCAGCTCTCCCTGGATCCTTCCCTTCTCCAGGGGAACATTCCCAGCTCTCCCAGCCCAGCTCCAGAGCAGAACTCCAGACCTGCTGGATGGCACAAGAATCCAGATCTTGGAAAACCTTGACTCAGACATCGAGAACCATTTTCCTTCAGTAAGGAAAAAGCTTTTCCATCCAATCTTTGCAGCTCCACAATCGCCCATCCAGAAGCCACAGACTGAACTCAGACACTTTTCTGCACTCCAAGAATATTGTGGGGGAAATTTTGGAATTTCAACAAGTCTGGAAATATTTCAAAACCGTTTTTTTTACAACTAAATATAATTAGTGACATAAAGCAGCAAATAATTAAGAAAATATTGATGCAAAAGAAGACAAATTTGTAGTTACTCAATTTTTTTTTCAGGGAACAGATCCAAATCTCCTTTTTGAATCAATTTTAATCCTGAAAACATCCATCAGGACAATAATATTCCTGGGAAAAACCTGTGCAAATCAAGAGAGAACACAGAAAAGTTCACTTCTTATTTATTCCAAGTGCCCACTTGGAATTTTTAAGATAATGAAGCTGTGATTTCAAAGTTGTGATATCCCAAAATCACAAAAATTATATTTTTGTGATGTTCTGAGGTGAGACTCAATTGCAAGGAAATAATCCCTTTGGTCTGGAAGATCAGGAACTCTGCTCTAGGTACTCCAACAGGATTTTTAGGAATTCTACATTTCCCACAGCTTTAAAATGGGAGGATGAGACATTTTACAGAAAGGGAAGATTTAATTTGGTATTATTGACAGGGGAAATGAGAGCCCTGATCAAGCAGGAAAAAACCCAACCTCGTATTTGTTTTCTATGCAAACCAAGTGTTCTCCATGAAACCAAGGTGAGCTCAAACACACCTTGATAAGCCAAGAAACTCAGCTCTGTTTATGAACAAAAAAGGTTTAAATCCATTTTCCACCTTTCCACATCATCCATCCAAAGCTCCTTTTGATTGTGATTGTCACGCTTCTGCCCAAAAAAGCAAGAAAATGTGCTTTTTTTCTCAGAAAAAAGGGAATTAAAACTCGAGTCCACCCACCAGGGGGTTTTTGTGGGGTTTCTTTTCAATACTGATGGGGAAGGATTCCCACTAAAATATCCAAGGAGTTCAGGATGTGCCTTTCCTTAAATTTGCAGCGATGAAGGAACATCCGTGACTTCTCCTTGGAGATCCTGGAGGTTCCTGGCCCGGGGGACTGTGCCAGCAGCTCTGAGGGTGCTGTGTCAGGACAGGGCCACCAGTGCCACCAGTGCCACCAGCAGGGCCCCGCTGGGCACGTCTCGGCTGGCCCCGGCCGTCCTGCGGGCCTGCAGCACGGCAAACACCGCGTTGGTGGCGTTGGTGGGGATCTCCACGTTGCAGATCATTCCTTCGCAGCAGGAAACGCATTCCTGGCGGGAGAAAAGGGTGATTAACTCAGGGTTGTTAATTCAGGGTGATTAATTCAGCGGGGATTCATTCGGAGAGGTTTTGAGAGAGAAACACGCGTTTAACGTCGCGGTGTTGAGCCGGACAGAGCCATCAGCAGCCTGGCCCGGGGCAGCAGGTGGAGCAGAAATGCTAAAAATCACCCTAAAATCTGATATATCCACGAATCAATTCTCCAAATCAGGAGTGCAGTTTTCCTGGAGTCGCTCATCCCGTGGTGCGTCCCCAAGCTGAGGTGGGATGTCACACAGCCCCAGTGGCACTGCAGAAAACACAGCTTCCCTTTCCAACACCTGAACGAAAAATATGCTCTGGAACCTTTCAGGTTTCAGCTTTTTGAAGCTGAAAAATTCTGAAAATTCTAAAAACTTTTGTTCCCACTCAGTTTTTCCCTCAAGGTTTTGTGGTCAGTGCAGCTTCCCGTGCTGAATCCACTTCATTTTTCAGTTTCTAAGGCTACCAAAGCACCACCACAGCTGATTTCCAGGAGAGAATCCAAACACAATTCTCCTTGCTAGAAAAGCCAAGAGAACAAATGAAGAAAATGCCAATTTTTATCCAATCCAAAGGCACAACAACTCTTTAAAGATAAAATCCCTGCCCATGGTTAAGGGCTGGAACAAGACGGGCTTTAAAGTCCCTTCCAACCCAAACCAGGCTGGGATTTTATAATTCTATGGAAATGCTGCAGGAGACAGGATGCAGAGTTGTTTTATTCCCTCAAAACTTGCTGGAATCACAGTGATTTGCTCAGGAAACAGAGATGCTCTGATATTTAACATGGACCTTGCCTGCTTTGTTTTTGATGTCTGAAATGGCTCATGTTAAAAATAACAGATCTTCACATGCTCCTATTTAGGAATTAATGGAAAATATTTTACAGCAGAGACAAAAACTCTGGTGGGTTTTGCTTGATTATTAAGAATAAACTTCCTCCCATCATCCCAAGGCTGGGAGGAGACACCAGTTTGGGCTTTTTCCCATGGAATAAAAACTCAATCGTGCCTCGCTTAAACCAATGGCAAACAGAACCTTGCATAACCAACCTGAGAGCTCCAATCCCGAGCTCCTGGGTGCACTCAAAAATCCCAGGAGGGAGTTGTTGCTGTCCCCTCCCACCCCAGTGGGAGCAGGGAAGGAGGAAGGAGGGCTTGGTCCTGCTTCTCCTGCAGAAATCCCAGTGCAGGGCAGCTCTTGGCACATCCTCCTGAGCTCAGCAGGAAAACAGCTCCTGGAATGGCCAGCTCCAGCCCAGGAGTAGGGCAGGAGTAGCAGGAACAGAGCAGGAGCGGGGCAGGAGGAGCAGGAGCAGGACAGGAGTAGGAAAGGAGAAGGGCAGGAGTAAGGCAGGAGTTAGGCAGGAGTAGCAAGAGCAGTGCAGGAGTAGCAGGAGCAGGGGAGGAGTAGCAGAAGCAGGGCAGGAAGAGCAGGAGTAGGACAGGAGTAGCAGGAGCAGGGCAGGAGTAGGACAGTAGTAGGACAGGAATAGAGCAGAAGAGCAGGAGCAGGACAGGAGCAGAGCAAGAATAGAGCAGGAGCAAGATGGGGCAGAGCAGGAGTAGAGCAGGAGCAGGATATAAGTAGAGCAGGAGTAGCAGGAGCAGTGCAGTAGGACAGTAGTAGGACAGGAGCAGGACAGGAGCAGAGCAGGAGCAGAGCAGGAGTAGGACAGAAGCAGGACAGGAGCAGAGCAGGAGCAGGACAGGAGCAGGACAGGAGTAGAGAAGGAGTAGGACAGGAGTAAGATAGAAGTAGAGCAGGAGTAGGACAGGAGCAGAGCAGGAGCAGAGCAGGATCAAAGCAGGAGTAGGACAGGAGTAAGACAGAAGTAGAGCAGGAGCAGCAGGAGCGGCGCTCACCGTGTGGCCGCCGTCCCCGCGGCGGTGGCACCCCACCAGGTGACACTCCTCACCGGTGGCGCATTTCTTGGTGACTGAGGTGCTCTCCCCGCGGGCTGTGAAGAGATGAACCGTCAGGCAGTACCGAGTGCCTGCAGAGGGAAAACCGGGATGTTTATTCCATAAATTAAACCGTCGGAACAGGTTTCAAAACTACACGCAATTAAGGAAAATACTCCCAGAAAATGGCTCTATGGAACTATTTGCAACTTGATCAAAAGAGCATTTAGCAAGAAATTAATTAGTGTGAAATCTTAGCTGACCCTTCAAACCTCCAGAAAGGCTGCTTTTATTTAAATTACTAATTAGCACCACCATCTACACATTTCTTTTCACTTCTCCTTTTGGCAGCACGTTTCAGATTTGTTTCCTCATTCCTCTATTTTGCTTCGTCCCCTTTCCCACCATTCCTGTGAATGTCCCCAGGAAGAAAAATGAGGAAACATTTCCATTCTTTTCTGTGTTTCACCCTCCTCAGCACAGGTGTGATCAGTCAGGTCCTGCTGCTCACAAAGAGCCATTAAATTTTGGGATGCTATCCAAAGGGAAGGGAATAAAGCTACGGAGGAAATTCTTCAGGTTTTTTAATTAAATTAAAAAATTAAAATTTAAATTAACTTTTAAATTAACTCCTGAGAAGCAGATTATTAGATATATATTAGATATATACACATATATATATATTAGATATATACATATATATAGTTAATTAATAAATTAAATTAATTTTTTTTAAAATATAAAAAATCATTAATATTGAGATATTAATCAGAAATCTGTATATTAAGATTTTATTGTTCTATATTATATAAAGCTGAGAGAGATGGAGATAAATAGTTTTTACACTGTTGCTTTACGCTTTGAAGAGAATAAAGAGAAAGAATTTTCTACAGAGAAAATTCTTCAGGTTTTTTAAACAAAATTAAATTAACTCTTGGGAAGCACATAATTAGATATATACAGAGAGAAGCATGTACAGGCAATTAATATTGATGAATTATTAAAAAGATCTGTTGTATAGTAATTTTTAATATTTTAAATTTTAATTAAATTAATATTAATTAAATATTAAATTAAATTTTATTGTCAGATATTATATAAAACAGAGAAAGACGGAGATAAATAATTTTTCACTCTGGAATAGCCAAAATTGTCACGTCAGCAGAAATGATCTGGCTCAGCATTCCCAATACCCGAAGTGATTAATGCTGGCACATTAATCCCATGAATCAGCCAGACTTCTCCAAGGGGGTGAGTCAGGGAAAAACAAGTTTAAATATCACCAAGGATCTCCTCAGTCCAGCCTTACTCACTTTCAGGACACCACCTATCTTCAGCCCATCTGTTGCAGTTGTAGTTGTCCACCGCGTTGTCACAGGTAAAGCACTTGAAACTGTTTGGGAATGGAGTGGCTTGGAAAGTATTAAAAAAGTATTAAAATACAGTCAGCTGGAAAGTATTGAGGAAAAAAAAATAAAGTATTTAATATTATGCTTGTACACGCATGCGTATATAAAATCTAAAAAAATTTTAAAAAATTTTAGAAGATTTAAAATATAAATTCTATATATTTATATCTTTTCACTGTCAGACAAATAAAACAAGCTTTGCAGAAAGTTTTTTATCTTTTTTTTTCCTCTCTAGGCTTGAACTTGAAATACATCCTCATGTTTTCATTCTCATCATCCAAAATTGAGGTAGTGGTGGGAAAAGCAGGAAAGAGGGAAGAGTTTATCTCCCTCCTCGTGGAGGTTTGAACAGCAAACATAAATCTGCATTTTCCTTTGATGGAAAAACTGCATTTCCAAAGCTCCAGAGCTTGATCTCCCACTTGGAAGGAGAAGTTGGATCCTTTAAACAAAAGGATCCAGAGGACTTCTTTAAAATCTTATTTCCATTATTTAAATGACTTATTGGAAGCTGCAGGGTTCATTAGGGGCAGATATTCTATCCAGCTATTATATCCTGGCTGGTTTAATGATGCAGATTATGCAAATGAAGGGATGGAACACTGGAGATGCCAGATAAAGAAAAAAGATGCCATTAGTGCCAACTGGCTTCACAGGTCCCACGAGGTTTTTAATTACCTTCAGACTGAATTAATTGTATACAGCAACACCTATTCCTCCTCTTACAAAACCCCCAACAAGATAAAAGCCCAAAACCACCTGTTCTGGATTATTTACAAGGAAACCGCTGCATAATTTCCTCTGCAGGGAGACAGAAAAAAATATAAGAAAAGCCCTTAAAATGTCAAAGTCCTCGTGTACCCTTTAATTTGGCCATGCTGGTGATTTATTTTCATTTAGTCAACTTGTCACATATTAAGGATAAAATGCCGTTGAGGAGCAGAATATTTATTTTAAAGTTTCTGTGGAGACAAACCCAGGGGGCTGGAAGGACGGGGCAAATCATTAAAATTTCAAGCTAGAATTCCATAGAGAAAAGGCCAGAATTCCATAAAAACACTACTTACGGTCCAGTGGAGGCCTGATGTTGTGAAAGTTGATGTTCTCCGCTGAAACCCAATTTCCTGAAAGGATCAGAAACGGGAGAACGGCTCCGGCCAGCGCATGCTGGAACAGCCCCATCCTGGGCGTCACTGCACATGGAAATCCAGACTCCTCAGGCCTGGGGAAGTGAGGGAACACACATTATTTAGTGGGAATCGTGAGGATCTGAGGTGCAGGATGATAAGTTTCCTGCGAAATCCTGCTGGAAGCGTGGAAATCCAGCCGGGAATGCCGGCGAGCTGCTGAGCGGCGCAAAGCTGAGCTGGTGGTGCCTTCTGCTGGCCAGAATCCCTCACAGAGGGCTTGAACTGCCAAAGAAAAATTCAAATTCACTTTATTTCCTTCACCCGAGCAATGGGAATCTTTAAAATTCCTTGAAAGGATTCCCAAAACTCAACAGGGGGACTGAGGTCCTTTAGATCCAACTTGAAACAATCTGGAATAAACAGCACTAAGGAAGCAAAACGCAGAGAAATCTCAGTTTTAACACCAACAACCAATCCTTTACCTGAGATAAATAAACTTAACTTCAGACAAGGTACGTCATCTGAATTTTAAGTGCACTTTGCACTGGCACAGCATTAAAAATTTTAAGTGTGAATTCAATTTATTTCTTTTTAAGTGCGTCCCAAGGGAATGCCCTGGAAGATGCCTCGGGATGGCACAGATGTTTCGGAGAAGGGCAAGGTGGAAAGTTCAGAGGGATGAGATGCAATCACCCAAAAATGCATTTATTTTTAAAATACATTTAAAATACGTTTATTTGGGGGCCCCCTGGGCGCTCTGCCAAGGCTTTAGAGAGAAGAACTGAACATTTTGCTCAGGTTGGTGTTTAGATTTTCCACACCTCCAGACAAACACGGGGAACTGTGGCAAATTCCAGTGACCCTGGAGCTTGGTTCAGATATTAAAAATCACTCACTCCTCCCACTCACTCCTGCAAATTCCCAGCAGGACAAACAAGCTGGAGTGGAGGCTCCTGCCAAACCAGAGCCAAAGGCATTCCCTCCAAATTTCCAGGCACACCCTGGCCAGGCTGACAGTGGTGCTCAGCAGAGAAATCAAGGAATTTCTCCTCTTCTCCCGGGGATTTTGGGATTGGTTTGTGTTTTTTCCTTTTCCGGTGGAGATGGTTTTGCCAACCAAGCGAACAATGGAATTTTGGGAATTGTGAGTTTTATTGTGAATCTAACCACGCTGCTTAAGATCTGCTAATCAAATCCTGGCTTTGTGGATATATTTCAGGAGATATTCCGAAGTCACAGCTTACCTCTGCTCCGTAGGATGGTCCAGATTTCTTCTGGCTGCAGGCCAGTATCTAAAGAAGGATTAGGCAGAAGAATCTGTGGAGAGCAAACAGCAACAGATCATCAAAATTCTGTTCTGAAGAAACAAATTAGCATTAAATTAAGATAAAAATTAGGTTTTTATAACAAAATATCCAAAGAAGCACTTGAACTACACAATATGGCTCTTATGGAGCACCATGGCACTGCAGAAATTGAAATTCCCTCCTTCCAGCGATATTCCAGTGTCATAAAAGACAAATAAAAGACAGAAAGTGAAGGAACGAGGCTCAGTCCATCCCTGAGGACGAGTTTCCTCCAGGAAAACCATTACTGAGGGAACAACCTGGGTGGCACCATGCGGCTGAGTATTCCCATTCCAGAGATATCCCAACTTTTCCACACGAGTTCTGCCCAAAATCGAAGCAGAAATCAGCAGCAAGGGAACCTGAGAGAGTAAAACAAACCTGCAGCCTCCCAGTGACAGGCTGATGAACAAACAGGTGCCCCACAACGTGTGGAGCCCATCCAACTCCTGGAATTCCAAGTAGGCCGCAATTCCCAGAGCCACACATTCCTGATCCCAATGCCTCATCCTCCTGCCCCTGCGCCATCAGGGATCCAGTTTTCCTGACTCCAGGAGGGTTCCTTAATCCACACTGCCTGAGTGATGTTGGTAACAAGATGAGAAGAGTCCTTTTTGTGCCTCGAGTCCTTCCTGGATCCCTTGCAAATAACTGTGTTCATCCTGGAATTCCAGGATGGTTTGGGTTGGAAGGGACTTTAAAGCTCATCCAGTTCCACCTCCCTTCCACTTCCACACCTTCAGCTTGCTCCAAGCCCTTCCAACCTGGCCTGGGACACTTAAATCCTTGGAACAACTCAAGCAACCCATTTTTGATCGAGAATTTCACAAAAACTCAGTGTATTTAAAGCATTTTAAAATCCTTTCCATTTTACTCTGCGGGAAGGGAGGGAAATGAATCATTCCAACATTTCCAAGACTTCTCTCCTTGTCCTGTATTTGCTGCTGGCTGAAGGAAAGTCTGTCTTTAAGGGGCTGTAACTGGATCTGAAGCACCTGGACAGAAAATAAAAGGCACAATTCCACTTGTGCCAGTTTGCTACAGACCCAGGCTCTCTCCTGCTCCCCTCCCCCAGGTTCCTATCGCTTTTCCTCATGCCAGATGGAAAATTTTAGGGACTATAAATACAAAAAGAGGCTCTCTGGCTGGAGGGAAGGCTCAGTAAATCGACCTCCCAATCTGAAGTCGTCAAAGGTGTCCTTGTTTGCCAAGCAGGCCAATAAATAATGGATGTTGTTTGCCATGGGCTTGGTTACACAGCTGCACCACAAGGGCGTTCTCAAATCAAATAAGAAAATATTGGCCCAAAAATGGCTTTCATATCTCAGCCAGAATCTTTTCAAAAGCTTATTTTCTTCACAGTGCCTTATCTCTGTTGTGCTCACAGATAATATTATCTAGCAGCTGAGTAAATGTTTCATTAGGCCCAATTAGGAGCTCTCATTAATGAAGGGGGAAAACTGTCACAACATGGAAGATTAACTTATATAAACAAGAGCAAACAGGGAGCTCCAGCTTTCCTGGGGGAGGGAAGACAATCCAAAAGGGAAGGGCTGATGCTATTAAAAAACCTGTGACTAAAACCCGTTTCAAGAAAACAACCAGGAACACAATGGCTGAACTAATTCAAATATTCCAGAAGGTTGGAACCTTGCAGGGTGTGATCCAAAAGTAGGAAGCAGCATCCCTGCTTTTTGATTTTAATAAAATTCGAGTCTGTCGACATTGTTTTTCCTGGCAGGCTCAGTGGAGGATTAGCAGATTGAACATCAGATATGGAATGCAAATGAAACTTCCTGCTGTCATTCAGTAAGCAATTTTCAGGTGCTATTAGATAATTGCAAATGCTTCTGTTTAGCTTGTTAAAAAGCACTTGGGGACATGAGAGTTCCACAGGCACAGGCAGAAAGGTATTTTCTGTGCTGAAAAGCTAAAACCCAACACCTGACAGCACCACAAATCCCAAAGGCCACAAAAAGGAGGGAATTCAACTTGGCTAAAAGGGCAGAAAGAGCTCCCTGGATCCCCCATTCTCCTGCTCTCCTCTGGAGACATTCCTGCAAAACCCAGCCAGCGAAGAAGTGGACGGAACAAATTTTAAAAGCAAACCCCGTAATTTTCTCTAGGAAACAAAGATACATTTAAAATAAAAAGGTGGGGGAAAGCAAACATTTTGACAAATTAAACTCCTCCCCCAAGAAAAATTACTGCAGATTTACAAATTTCAAACTCTTTGCTGTAGAAGCTTTATCTTCTCTTTCCTGCTGAGTTAAGTCGCTATTTTTTTAACTTTTTGCCTCACAGCGTGTTATTATTAGCACAACAGCAAAATGGATTTTATGCTATGCTGACAGACAACTGCAAGGAGAAATAGCGCCAGAATCAAACTGAACTCATCAACCGGATTTTGAAACACCACACATTTCCTTCAGCCGCACCCACAGCCCCACTTGGAATGAAATTTGGCCTAAATTACAAGAAATTACAGAGTTCTTTATCTGAGATCTTGTAAAGCACAACATCATTTCGCTCAGGGGATGATGCTGGCATGAGAGGTGTGATGGAAAGGGCTGTGAGACTGGAGGTGTCTGACTACACCAAACTGTGACTTCAGAAAGAAAATAATCCCTGATGAACACGATAAACCTGGGAAGTATTGCTGAAGTGAAGGATTTGCAAAGAGAAAACACAGAATGAAAAATGCATCGTTCCTTTCCCAGCTCAAACTGACATTTAGGTTAAAATTCACAATCCCCCCGATGTGGATGGATGATGGATGGATGACGGACGGATGGATGGATGAATGATGGATGGATGGATGATTGATGGATGATGGATGATGGATGGATGACGGACGGATGGATGGAAGGATGGATGGATGATGGATGGATGGATGGANAAAAACACACCCACAGAAACACACACCCACTCAAAACCACACAGAAACACGTTCACACACAAAGAAACACAATTCCACACAAAGACACACTCACAGAAACACAGAAACACACAAAGACACACAAAAAGGTGACACTGACAAACACACACAGAAGAACTGACACAGAAAGACACACAAAGACTCTGATTCACGCTCAAACACACACACAGAATTCACACAACCCCAAAAAGACTCCCCACTCACACAGACTCACCCACACAGAAAGAAATGACACACAGAGAAAGAAATGACACACAGAGAAAGAAATCACACACCCCAAAAAAGATTCCACACTACACACAAACTCCCACACACAGAAAAACACCACATTCAGATAATATAACTATTTTAAAAGGGGCCAAAAATAATGAGAGCACAAAAG